GCTCTTGATAACTTATTGATGGGATAAGATGTAGAATGACATAATTCATGCTTATTTTAGAATTTTGGTTACAAGGAATTCTGTGTGCTGTGGGTTGACATGTTACATATTCTGGTTTCATTTCCTAATTTCAGTTTAAGGGTACCAAATGATTTGACAGTTTTCTTTCTTACACATCTGACTCTTTTCCAAAGGAAGGTTATAGTAGAAAGTAGAAATCCTACCCTTTTGGTACCCATATTCTAGAGACAAATTTGTTTCAAAATTTTGTAGAACAATTCTCTTTACTTAAACAAAACAACCAAAATCCCACACAGGATCTCTAGTTGCAGTATGTCTGTTATCTCATTTTTCTTTCTTTCCCTAAATACCCTGTTTTTTTCCTGACCAAAAGTAGGAAAGGGGTGCAGAGGGTCCACTGGCCTTGGGGGCCCAATACTCTGCTTGAATGGGGGTGGTGCCTCGCCCTGGAAGGCCTGACAGCTTTTACCTGATTCACAGTGTTATAATGTGCATTCTGTTTATTATTAATGAGGTTGGAATGCTTTTTCTCTCAGTTTTTTTTGTTACCTAGTTTTACTCCCCTTAAAAAAAATTTTGTTTCAGTTTTTTATTAATTCAGCTACTAGGAATTTTGGATTTCTTTTTTTAGTAAATATGTTTATCTCTATTTTCAAGTTAGTTTGCCTTTTAAATTTTATTTATTTTTTTGAAGATGCTGCACATGTTTTATTGTTATGTAAATACATCTGTATATTTTTGAATCTCTTTTTTCTTGCCTTTTTTATTGAGATAAAATTCACATAAAATTCACCATTTAAACCATTGTAGCATACAATTTAGTTTTTTTGGTGTTTTTTTTTTTTTTTTCACAAATTTTACAGCTGTCATCACTTTCTGATTCTAGAACATAATCATTGCCCTCAAAGGTAGCCCATACCTCATCAATCACTGATCTACTTTCTGTCTCTATGGATTTGCCTATTCTGGACATTTCATATATGTAAATGGAAGCACCCAATGTGTAGTGTTTTGTGTTTGCCTTTAGCATAATGTTTCCAAGAGTAATACATGTTTTATCATGGGTGAGTAGTATTTTATTTCTTTTTATTGGGGTATAATCTATTATTTATTCATCAGTTGATGGACATTTGGGTACTTTCTACTTCTTGGCTATTACAAATATTGGTGCTTGTACAATTTTTGTCTGTGGGCATATATTTTCATTCTCTTGGGTATATATCTAGGAGTGAAATTCTGGGTCCTTTTGTAACTCAAGGTTTAACTTTTTCAGTTCCTAGTAAATTGTTTTTTATGCCAACTACATCATTTTACATTCCTACCACCAAGGTGTATGGGTTTAGAATTCCCTACATCCTTGTGAACATTTTTTTTTGAGTAATAATTACATTTCTTTAAAAAATCTTATCTTTATTGGTGAAAGTATTACAAATGCCCCCGTTTTTCCCCCATTGATCCCCTCTATCCTGTACCCCTCCCCCCAGACCTTCACCCCACTATTGTCTGTGTCTAGGGGTTATGCATATATGCATATAAGTTCTTAGGTTAATCTGTCCTCATCCATCCCCTGCCCCCGCCTTCCTTCTGAGATTCGTCAGTCTGTTCCATGCTTCTGGGTCTCTGGATCTATTTTGTTCATCAGTTTATTTTGTTCATTAGATTCCACATATGAGTGAGATCATGTGACACTTATCTTTCGCTGATTGGCTTATTTTGCTTAGCATAATACTCTCCAGGTCCCACCATGCTGTCTCATAGTTTAAATGATCCTTTTTCACAGCTGTATAGTATTCCATGGTGTAAATGTCCGAGAAGATGCTTGATATGGTTTCAGTCTTTTTGAGGTTGTAGAGACTTGTTTTGTGTCCTAACATGTGGTCTGTCTTTTAGAATGTCNCCTCCATTTGTTTGACTATTTTTTAGTGTTTTTATTGTAGTTGATTTCTCATTTCATACGATTGTTGTCCGAGAAGATGCTTGATATGGTTTCAGTCTTTTTGAGGTTGTAGAGACTTGTTTTGTGTCCTAACATGTGGTCTGTCTTTTAGAATGTCCCAGGTGTACTTGAGAAGAATGTATATTCTGCAGGTAGAATGTTCTGTAAATGTCAATTAAATCCATCTGATCTAGTGTGTCATTTAGGGCCACTGTTTCCTTGTTGATTTTTTTTCTGGAAGACCTATCCAATGAAGTCAGTGGGGTGTTAAAGCCCCCTAGTATGACTGTAGTGCTGTCGATCGCTCCCTTAAAGTCCCCCAGAAGATATTTTTTTCTTTTTCCAGCCTATGTGAGTCTTTTGTTCTGAGGTGGGTCTCTTGTAGACAGTCTGTATTTCAGTCTTGTTTTCTTATCCATTCAGCTACCCTATGTCTTTTGATTGGAACATTTAATCCATTTATACTTAAGGTTATTATTGATAGGTACTTATCTATTGCCTGTCTCTTATACACATCTAGATGTGNATAGGTACTTATCTATTACCATTTTATTTCTTTATGCCTATGTTTCTCATTCTCTATTTCAGCTTCTTTTTCAGCAGTCCCTTTAACATTTCTTGTAATTCTGGTTTGGTGGTGACAAACTCCTTTAGTCTGTTTTTGTCTGGGAAGCTTTTTATTTCACCATCTATTTTGAATGATAACCTTGCTGGATAGAGCAATCTTGGTTTCAGGTCCTTGTTTTGCATTACCTTGAATACGTCATGCCATTCCCTTCTGGCCTGTAGAGTTTATGATGAGAAATCAGCTGACTGCCTTATGGGAGCTCCTTTGTAAGTAACAGATTGTTTTTGTCTTGCTGCCTTTAAGATTCTCTCGTTGTCTTGAATTTTTGACATTTTAATGATGATGTTTCTGGGCATGGGTCTCTTTGGGTGCTTCATGCTTGGGACTCTCTGTGCCTCATGAACTTATGTGACATTTTCCTTGACCAGGTGACGGAAGCTTTCTGCCATTATTTCTTCAAACAGGTTCTCTAACCCTTGCCTACTTTCTAGATCTTCTGGTACTCCTATGAGGCGAGTATTGTTCTGTATCATGTTGTCCTACAGCTCCCTTAAACTGTCCTCCTGTTTTTTAATTATTTTTTCTTTTGGTTCTCTGAGTAATTTTTTCTACCCTGTCTTCTAATTTGCTGATGTGATCCTCAGCTTCTGCTAATGTGCTGTTCATTCCTTCTAGTGTTTTTCTTTTTAATTTTTACATTGTCTTTCTTAATTTCCTTCATAGTTTCCATTTATTTTCTCATGCTGTTGAGCATCTTTATGATCAGTATTCTGAACTATATATCTGATAGATTGCTTATCTCCATTTCATTTAGCTCTTCTTCTGGAGACTTCTTTTGTTCTTTCATTTGGGGCTTGTTTTTTTGCCTCCCCATTTTTGCTGTCTGTTTTTAATTGTTTCTATGAATTAGGTAGATCTGCTAGGACTCTCAGTCTTTTGGATGGTCTCCAGTGAAGGCCAATGTCAGATGCTGTTTGTGACTGACCTTGAGTACCCTCTTTGAAGTTTTCCGTACCCCACAGATTGTGGTTACCTCTGCTAGGGTTGGGTGTGTTTGGAAAGGATCAAGATGTGTAACAAGGTCTGCTTTTCCAAGCCCAGGATCCAGAAGCAAATCAGACGTAGAATTAAAGCACCCAGAGGCTGTTATTCAGTCTCTTAATGAGCCTCAGGCTGTAGAAACTCTACAGGTGGGTGTGAGGTTTTCCAGCAGGGTGGGGCAATTACTTCCCCTCCAGGTAAGAGCTGCATGGATGGTAAATATCTGCTTGAGAAAGAGGTCGTCTGCAGTATGGGGGAATGACTCAGCACAGGAATCCAGATGGGTGCCCTCTGAACTCTGTTCCCTCAACTAGCCCCCCCCTAAATTCTCTTCAAACAGCTCTAGTCCACTCTGCCTTCCCTCTGCCAGAGCCCAAGGTGAGTGGCTGCACAGAAAACTTCATGTCTTCGACCTTTAAGAGGGTGCCTGCATTTCCAGCCCCCTCTCCCTGGCAGATAGAAACCCCGCTGCCTTTCACAGCTAGGGGACCTTTGTTAGTTGTGGTGCTCTGGGCTAGGAAGTGCAGCTTGGGGTTTAGGCCCCAGACTTCTCAGTGGGAAAACCCCACAGCTGAGGTATTCCTTTGGGTCTTCAGCTGCTGGCTGGGGGAGCCTAGCCAGCTGTCTCGCACCTCTGCACTTCCTGCCTGTCTGTATGCAGTCTCCACTTTAAGTCCTTGGTTATGAGGGTGTTTTCCAGCTCATCTTCAGTTGTAGTTCATTATTCAGGGTGATATTTCTATGTTTTAGTTGTAATTCCAGTTTGGTCCTGGGAGTGTGTCAGTGTAGCTTTCACTAAATCCACTGTCATTCTACATGTCCACGAATAGGCTGGGAACTCTGCTCTGGAACTTGACCGATGAAGCAGTTACTGACTGGAGCAGTGTCAGTTTTCATCCCAACCTTTATTTTTCATTTTAAAAGTTATTACATCCATTCTAATGATTGTAAAATAATATCTCTTTGTTTTCATATGCATTTTCCTAATGACTAGTAATCTTGAGTATTTATCATGTGCTTGTTGTCCATTTGTATATCTTTGAGGGAAAGGTAACCTAAGTCCTTTGCCAATTTTTAAATTGATGGTTTGTCATTTTATTATTTAATTGTAAGAATCCTTTGTATTATTACAACTTTAAAAGGATATATATGAAAATAGGGTTATTAATACCTTTTCAGATATATTACTTGAAAAGTTTTGTCCAGTTGTGTTGGTTGTCTTTTCACTTTCTTTTTTTTTAATCCTCACTGGAGGATATTTTTTTCATTGCTTTTCAGAGAGAGTGGAAGGGAGAGAGAGAGATAGAGAGAAACGTTGATATGAGAGAGACACATTGGTTGCCTCCCACACACAGGCAAACCGTGGCTGGGGATTGAGGCTGCAACCAAGGTACGTGCCTTTGGCCAGAATCGAACACTGGACCCTTCAGCCGATGGGCTGACGCTCTAACCCCTGGGCAAAACTTGCTAGGGCTCTTTTCACTTTCTTGATGGTATCTTTTGATACACAAAAGTTTTGAGTTTGGATGAAGTCAGTTTTATCTATTTTCGTTCTTGCTTTTAAATTTAGGAAATCTTTTATTAGAAATAGGATATATGTTTATTTTCTGCCTTTGAAACTTTTAACTTTTTATGTCCCTATTGGGTTACAGCTATACCTGTTATATAACTTTACAGGATATGCTATAATAATTTAGTTACATAAATATTTCCCTGGGAATCTCTGAGCTCTTCTGAGTCCTCTTCTATGTTTTATTTATCCCCGTGCCAGTCATTTATTCAATTATTCTGTGCCAAGCAGCAGATAGAGTAATGAACAAAAAGACTACTGAAGCCTTCCAGAGAGTAAGTGCTCAGTAAGTATATTTGATAAATTACTGAATTAGTATTTTAAATGATGTAAAGCAAAATCTCATAATATCAGCATTTTACGTAAATAATATTTTGATCCTAGGTAACTGTACAGGTAGGTTGTGTTACTCATGTTTTTGTATCCTCAGAGAAATAAAGAAAATTTATTTCCCTCACATTTTATTTTGAATATGCACGCTTTCAGACCCCACTTATGGTACAGATATAGTTTCAGTTTGTTAGAATTTTGCATTTAATTAAATGCATGGTAGGCTAATGAAGGAAATTCTTTAAATTTTGTTTTGATAGTGAAAGCAAGTTGAATACATTGGTGCAGAAACTTCATGACTTTCTGGCACATTCATCAGAAGAATCTGAAGAAACAAATTCTCCTCCAAGACTTATGATGAACCAAAGCACAGGTAAATTGAAAAAGAATGTGCAATATCTTCTAGGCTATATTCCATTTTTTTTGTGGGGGGAGCATCTATTAAAAGGCTTTAATATCCTTTATGTATCTAGTATTTAGCTAATATCATATTGGAGACCTTAATTTAGATAAGTGAAAATGTAAGGTTTTATGGTTGTAGGTGCTTAGAGAAGGATGTATTTCTAGTTTTATGTCGAATGGAAATGTCTTATAGAAAGGTTGATGAATGTTGACTGTGAAAAATAGGTAGTATTAGAAGAGGTGGGAACAGTACAGAAATATATAATTCTAGTTGTTATTCATGTATTATGAGTTAAACTTTTAAATTTAATAAGTTAAATTTAATAAAAGTAAATTAAATCTACTTCTGAGTATGTATGGCACATATTCCTTTTTGTTTGTGGGTATTCACCTGAATAGTCGGTGCATATGTTTTTAATTAAAAAACACTTTAACACCTCCTTTCTACCTCCCTTTCACTTTGTTTTATCTTATGGAGAATATCTGATCTTATAAAAATATTTTTTGTTAATCCTCACCCAAGGATATTTTTTCCATTGATTTTTTTTTTTTTTTTAGAAAGA